ACTGTATATATGTTTTCTTAAGTTTTCGTGGGTACTTACATGTATGGTATTCAGCTTTGTTTGGGTATTTTCCCACGTCATTATAGTTGTGCTTTTAAAGTTGCTACAACTTGTGTGTGTGTGTGTGTGTGTGTGTGTGTGTGTTTATGTTTATGTATATGTCTAGGAATGCAGTGGCTCAGGGGCTAAGGCACTGAGCTTGTTGATCAGAAAGATTGGCAATTCAGCATTTCGAATCCCTAGCACTGCGCAATGGAGTGAACTCCCATTACTTGCCCCAGCTTCCGCCAACCTAGCAGTTTGAAAGCACGTATGAAATGCAAGTAGAAAAGTAGGCACCACTCTGGTGGGAAGGGAACAGTGTTCCATGCACCTTCGGCATTTACTCATGCCAGCCACATGACCACCCAGATGTCTTCAGACAGCACTGGCTCTTCGGCTTTGTAAGGGAGATGAGCACTGTCCCCTAGAGCCAGAAACAACTAGCACATATGTGCGAGGGAAACTTTACCTTTACCTATGCATATGTATATATATGTATAAGTCTGCTTCTCCTCTCAAAACAGTCTGTACTGCCCTTGTATTACCATGCATAAGCAGTAGTGAGGGACTTTCAAAAAGCATGAAAGACCTTCTGTGTACACAGAAAGAAAAGCAAATATGTACCCAAGATGAATCCTGCCAAGCTCAATTGGCTACTTCAAGGTTTCTCTTATTATTATTTTTTTTTAAAAATCCTACTTGTACCTCCTTTAGGCAGAAATAACATAAATAAAGAAAGGCAGTCCAACCACCTTCAAATCATTTTAGCTAAGTTTCCCCACTAAGAGTTTGGCCCAACCAATGCCAAAAGGCTCATATTCTAATTTAAAAATACAAACTTTCAAAAATTATTTGCTTTTCTGTCATCAACCAGCTTTGCTGTCTCTGTCCAAGGAGGGATGGTAGAACTCGCTGACAAGCTGGAATGCTTTCTAGGAAGGGTCCCTCATCACTGGCAGGACTTGGTTGACCTAGAGTTGTCGTTGTTGGCCATATTTTATGAGCAACATAGTTAGGGGAAGCAACAAAAGCAGTATCACACAATAATATACAATGCTGCAGAGAAATTTCCCTTATTTAGGAAGATTTAAAGAAGTTCCTGTAACATCTGACTTTTCTCTAGATGTGTACTATGTAAAGAGAATATTTGTAGATCAGGGTTGAACTATGGAGTCCTGGATGCTCTCTGAGCTTGGTGGTTTGGTTGAAGGTGTTTATTGCCAGACTAGCAAAGACGATTGTCCCAATCAGTTGTGCTATTCAAATTTTTTTTACTACCGGTTCTGTGGATCATTCCAGCTCCTCTTTAGGACAATGATGGTTTATTCAGCAAACAACAAATACTCTAATCAGGCAAGAATGGGTAAAAGCCAGGCAAGGTTAGCATTGGGTTCGAGTTTGCTCTCTTTCTTTTGTTATCATTATTATGAGACACACCCCCACCACATCCAGGCCTATAAGCAGTTCTACTCCTGGCCACGTCTAACCTATTATCTCTAAATACTATTAACCTTATAACATGTCTACATCTCTAACTTATTCCGACGCTCACTAACTGATCCCCACCTGGTGCCACCTTCACCATGTCTTAACTCAATGCTTAAGTATATGTGCCCCAACACCCCCTAACAATATGTACTACATGAAAAAAGCCATTTTCAGCCCCGCAGTTGCTTCAGAATCCATCCTGCAGCTCACAGCTCTGCTGAGTCATTCTAAAGCAACCTTCAACACCATCAGCTAGCACACAAACAGCAATACAGATCTGGCATCAGCAGAGCTAAGGTGATGTTCTCCACTGCCAGCTGACTTGCTGTGAGGTGTGTTCGGAGCTGACGGGCTCCGTAGCGAATTCAGAGTCTGACAGCATGGCAGGGGAAGGATATTGCAAAATCCCCATTCCCTAACCTGCTTTCCAGATCCATTTTCCTGTGCAGGACAACAAAAGAAGACCAAGCCAATCAGCTGGGACTCAGGAGGCAGGGAATAGATGGGGGCGGGGCCAGTCAGAGGTGGCATTTGCCAGTTCTCTGAACTACTCAAAATTTCTACTACCGGTTCTCCAGAATCTGTCAGAACTGGCTGAATACCACCTCTGGTCCCAATGGTGCTTTTTCAAAAGGCGGCTGGATTTTTGGTGGATTTTTTTTCCCTCTTGAAGATGTTTTGCTTCTCATCCAAAAAGCATCTTCAGTTCAGAATGCTCCTTGGATGAGAAGAGAAATGTCTTCAAGTAAGAAAAAAAACTCAAGAAAGTCCAATTGCCTTTTGAAAAAGACCGTTGGGACAGCCATGACATGGATGACTGAAAATCTCCATAGACATTTGATGATGTTTGATAATGTTTGATAATTTGCAATGAAACAGCTGCAAGAAAACAACCAAGCTCAAAGAACACCAAGGACTCCACACTCCAGATGTGTGAACATCACTTCCCAGAATTCTTGACAATAGTAAACATTGGCTAGGAATTCTGGGCATTGTAGTCTGTATATTCAGAGACTACTGCTCAATCTGACTGTGGACATTATAAAAATGGTCACCTTCTCCACATCACCTGATGCCAGTTACCATGGTACACAGCCCTTCTCATCTCTTAGAGAGGCAGAAAAATATTTGAAATGCCTAAGGCACCATAATAGGACCCAGAGAACTATGGAAAATAAACATTTTCCAGGACTTCTGTGGTTGTCCTCTTGTTCTGATGATTTCAAGACCTCCATTTTTGTTAGAACTCCAAGGAAAATCATTCTGCTGTTGGCAGGGACATCGTCGCATTCTCTTTTGTCTGGAGCTATTTTTATACAAAACAAGAAAATGTGGATTCACCTCTTGGTATTTAACTTCTGTGCGGGCACAAATTTCTCTGATTTGTTATGATCTTCGCTCTTTCTCTCAGCAGATCCAGGGGCGGGATTCAACCAGAGATGGTATTCAGTAGGTTCTGATTAGTTCTGGAGAATTGGTAGCAGAAATTTTGAGTAGTTCAGAGAACTGGCAAATCCCAACTCTGACTGGTCCTGCCCCCTTCTATTCTCTGCCTCCCAAGTCCCAGCTGATCAGCTGGGTTTTCTTTGGTTGCCCTGCACAGGAGAACAGAGCTGGAAAGCAGGTTAGTTAGGGAGGGAGGGAATGGGGATTTTGCAGTATCCTTCCCCTGCCATGCCCACCAAGCCACACCACACCCACCAAACCATGCCCACAGAATGGGTAATAAAAATGTTTTAATCCCATCACTGGATTCAACTGGTATAACAACCAGTTCAGCTAGTGTATACTTCATGCACGCAGCATTTGAAAACCACCCATTTTCAGCTCTAATACTTACCTTCTGCTGCAGCCCCAGTGAGTAAAACAGCTGAGGCGCGGCAATCTATTGTGCCGCACAAATCAGCTGAGCTGCAAAACACAGAAATAAAGGACAGACTAGGGCAGGGGTGGATGGGCAGGACCAAATGATAACCAGAACTACTGGTTCACCTGTCTAAACTGATAGAATCCCACCCCTGAGTAGATCTCTTATGAATCCTGCTTTCTTGTTATTGTTTCTGAAACTGAACTTCAACTGAAGTCAAGGTTTCTTTAGCAGAAGCAACTGTAGATTTTGGCTTTTCACTTTAAGGTTCAGATTTATTTTCACACCAACTGGCATGGCTCCACCATTACCCAGTGGAAGATAAATTTAAGCTGGGGGAAAAAAATTGACTGCAAGTAAAACTCATTTGAGTTTATTTTGGCTCTAGGTGTGTCAAAATCTATTAAAAAGATTGTAGTATATGGGGTTCAATGAGATATGAATCAATTGTTCAGCCACGTATACGAAGGAAGCTTTAACATTCACTTAATTACTACCAATTCCTTTCAAAGGCAAACCACTGTCAAACTTCTATTTTGGCCTAAGGGATCATCAGCCCTGTGACAGGCAGAAATCAGAACATCTCATTCAGTTAGAGGGACTCAACCTAGAACTCAGGAGTAATGTCCTAACAGTGAGGACAATTAACCTGTGGAATGGGTTGCCTTCGAAAGTTCTGGTGGCTCCAACACTGGAGGTGTTTAGGAAGAGGCTGGACAACCATTTGTCTGAAATGGTATAGGGCAAGGGTCTCCAGACTTGGCAAGTTTAAGACTTGTGGACTTCAACTCCCAGAATTCCTGAGCTAACATGACTGGTAGAGGAGGAATTCTGGGAGTTGAAGTCCACAAGTCTTAAAGCTGTCAAGTTTGAAGACCCCTGGGTCTCCTGCCTGAGCAGGGGGTTGGACTAGAAGACCTCCAAGGTCCCTTTCAACTCTTTTATTCTGTTGTTCAGTGTTTGTAGCTCTTGAGAAGCACAATTATATTCATTTGCTAAGAATGATTTTTTACAGACATGTGCTCAGAGGCAGGGGTGGGATTCTACTGGTTCAGCGCGGTTCAGGTGAACAAGTAGCTCCAAAGATCAGCTAGGAGCGAACCAGTTCACTCCGATGATCAGCTGTTGGGCCCATCCACTCGCCCTCGGCTCTAGTCTGTGCTTTATTTCTGGATTTTTCAACTCAGCTGGTTCGTGTGGCACAGCCCAGTGGTGGGTTTCAAAGTATTTTACCCTCAGTTTGGTGGGCATGGTTGGGTGGGCGCACTTTGTGTGCACACATACATCAAACACACACTTTGCAAATGCACAGTGGCTTTCCTACTCACCTCCTGCAATCCTGCTCTCTCCCTGTAGTTTCAACAGCTGACACGCAGCAATCTGCTGTGCTGTGCAAAGCACACCTGTGCTTCAAAAGCAGGGAATAAAGGTCAGTATAAGAGCTCATGGGCAAGTGGGCCCAACAGCAGCTTGTCAGAGAGAACCAGTTCGGTCTCTGCCGATCTTCAGCGCTACTGGTACACCAGAACTGGGCCAAACCAGTAGAATAGTACCACTGGCACAGCAGATTGCCATGCATCAGCTGTTTTACACACAGGGCTTATAGCAGTAGGTGAGTTCAAACACTGCACATGGTCACGAAGCACGCATTTGGTGCGCTCACCAAAGTGGTTGTTACACCGGTTGAATCTCACCCCTGGTCAGAGCTGATGTGCAATCCATGGTGAGGTGAACAGTTGTGCTCAGCTCTTACGCCCAGCACAAGGACAATCAAAAAAGCGACGGATGGACTGCCTGCGTGAAAACATGCGAGTGGTTAGTGGTAAGTGAAATGAAGAACGGAGGACCCCATGATATGGCAGGAATAACGCAAAGAACGACAAGAAGCAGATTTGCTAAGAACGACGTTAAAAAGTAGTGTTTCTCATTTCTTCGTTGCATCTAATTTTGAGACAGCTGCATATAAAAGAGAAATTGGTCCCAATGCAGGCATGCTCGCTACATACTCTAGATGTGTTTCAAACAGCATAGCTACATGCTAGACGAGTGTGTGGGAGTTGCACAAGTAAAAGCGAAACCAAACCCGTTGCTTGGAAATATCTGTGGAGGCTCTCAATCATCCAGGTCATGGCTGTCTCAAAGCTGTTTTTCAAAAGGCAACTGGACTTTCTTGACAACATTTTGCTTCTCCTCCAAGAAGCTTTTTCAGTAACTGAAGAAGTTGTTTGGTTGAGAAGCAAAACGTTTTCAAAGGAAAAGCCAAGAAACTCCAGTTGCCTTTTGAAAAGCACCTTTGGGAGATCGCTTGGGAACGTATGCCTAAAAATATAGCCATCCAAAGCAATTCTCCAGAGGCTGAGGATTTTTCTCCCACATTCTTGAAGAAAGCTCCAGATCCACGCCAAGTTTCTTTTGAATTCAGAAAAAGGAAGTCTACGCTGGGTTTTTTTTTTTCCATGCTGAAACTAATTAGCAATGTCCAGACAAAACAGCCCCACACCATTAATCATGGAGGGGTGGTAGCCATCCCAGGCTTCTCTGAAGCACAGTTTGTTGAGATTTTTCTCTCTCGAGTCCCTGTTGCTTTTCACCACTTGGGTTGGGTAGCTTTCAAAAGCCACGAGAGATCCTGCTTTTCATGGCCAACAGCCTGTGAAGCAAAAAGCTGTGCCTTGATGGAAAAGACAATGGCCCTCTGTTAATAAAACCACACTTGCTTTATTTTTTCCCCTTTACTGTTCCCAAATAGATGAGCATGAACAGATGGTTTTTCTCAGTATTTTCTTCTTGAGTTAATGCCTAACTGACTTGGGTGTTCTAAAACAGAGTTCCCCAATTTTTCCGGCCTTGCGAATCGGCAGTGGTTTGCGCAAGCTCCATTCCCACAAGCAGCGTGCACACATGCCTGCCACTCATGCACATAGAGCACGTGCACACATGCTCCTCCGCTGCTCACACAAGTAAGGATGCGCATGTGTGCAGCCATTCCCACCGTTGCAAGCCACCCACAGGGTGGGGAACCCATGTTCTAAAATTTGAAGGAAGATTTATTTCTTTACAGTTCTTCAAAAGCTGGCTAAACAGTGTCCGAAATCATGTCAAAAGGTTTCTTTTTTCTATGCACAGATAATTAGAAGTAAAATAAAATGTGTTTCTGGTGCCCAGGACAGCATGTCATTCAGGGCTGGTGGCGACAGACAAATAAAATTGGACATGGAAGAGAAATGGTAAATCCAAAACAATGTGGACATGGCTCAGAAGAATGTGAATAATTCAACTCTGTAGAACAGGGTGTGGGAAGAAATATCCAGGTCCAGGTCCAGGTCCAAGCTGGGAGAAAGGCACTGGAGACAAAATGGAGGCTAGAAGCTGATTGGGAAGAGGGTCCATTTATTGATGAAGCAGAACCACCAAGCACGAGTGAAGCTGACCACATGGAGTTGGAGTTGAAACTTATATCAAGGGCACCCCTTCACTCCTTGAAGA